CGTCACCATGCGGAAAAGCAGCATTGCAACGACTTTCGACGGCCTGCCGCGACTTAGGGCGACCACCCAGTAGCGTACTGCATGAATCATGCTTGGTATGTGCTGGCGTTCGTTGCTAAGTTGGTGCAACGTAACGAGTTGGGGACGTAAATGCCAATGTGTACATAATATCGAGACAAGGAAATCAAAATGTGCTAGCACAAGGCCTGCGGCGCGCGCGGCTTGCTTTTACTGCGTCTCTTCACTTGATTGACGAAGGTGACGCCGGCTCGGTTGCACTTTCAGGCAGAGGCCAAGACGTCCGCACCCCAGCGTGACTTGAGCTTCCCGGCCAGCATAAGCGTGTGAGAAATCAGGACCTGCACGAGGACTATTCGCCTCAGAAATACTGGCTCTGCTGCGATCCAGCTACGCAGCTGCACTGATGTGAAAATGAGGCTGTAGCTTGAATTGTTCTGTGCTCGAACATGGTAGGCATGTCGTGCGAGATTTGCATGAACCGTCGGCAGTGAAGTTGGGGTGTCAAGGTTCGAGTGGGTGCAGAACGCTCCGCAGCAAGGGTTTCAGGCGGGGGGGGGGGTTTCTGGAAACATGCTGCGAGTGCTTTGCACTATAGTTTTTATTTGGGCTCAGAGAGCGCTCGCTGCCTTCGAACCCACCGCATCCGGAAGCAGACCGAGCATGTCTTATTTTTCGTGGTGGTTTAGGCTTTCCCCGGAGCCCCAATTCTGGTAAATTTACGCCAGTTTTTTTTTTTTTACGCTCATGGGGGGTTTTCCTGGGGTGGCTGTAAGGGGTTTATATAGGTGTTTTTGGGCTATGGGATACAACCCGCGATTTTTTGTGGGCGTTCTACGCTTTTTCTACGGATTTCTACGCTTATTTATGGTTGCTTTTGCGTAGGTTTTGGGGTGGGTTCGGTGTGAATGAATCTACGGATATTCATGGTATGGTTAATTTAAGGTCGCTGGGTGCAGTTACGAAATTTTATGGTTATTCTACGCGCGTGGCTGTTGAATTTATGGTTATTCTACGGCTTTGGGTCATGTGCCTGGCGAGGGAAATAGGCTGATCTCTACATATAGTACCCCACGCAAAGACCCAGATTTTAGGTTTACGCACATTTACGCCCGATGTTTTGTTTGCGCAAATTTACGCACATTTACGCCCATTACGGTCCGACCAGAAATTTACCGGGGGCTCCGGGTCGAGAAATAGTCATGAGTGCCCATGCAGTCTTCTTAGGCGTGTGTGCACGCAAGGCGCAAACCCGATTTAACAAAGTTTCCTTGAAGCGGTGAACACGACCAGTAGAGACCGGAGGCTAGTTATATCCGTGCTTATTGTACATGGCCATTGTGTGGACTCGAGACATTGGAGGCAATAATTTCATGGGCTTCAAACAAGCATGAAGATATAAGCACAACCACAACCACGACGAATGTAACGTGGTAGTTTGTACGCCCACCCAAGGGGAATTCCTACTTTGAAGGCGGTTTTTCCCAAGAGCACCATCTTGTTCCGCTGGCGACCCAAACCACAGATGGACTCGAAGCACTATTCACATAGCTCTGTGAAAGGCCGGAATGCGATGCACGCCAATGTACTTTATTAAGTCTGCAAATATTTTCCTCATACTTGCAAGTGCGTGTACCACAGATACATCCACAGCACCTCGAGCAAGAGCATGCTGTTTGGTCCCGACCTTTCTGTGTCGATTGTACTACATGCATTCGCTGGCAAAGACATTCTTCAACCGCCAGCAACGCCTTGAACAGGTCTGGTGATGAAGTCACTGAGTCACTGCAAGCATCCCTGCAATTGTAACAATGAGCTGGTTGCTTGTTAGCTGGAGGAACCACAGGGTTTCCCGAAACCAACAAAGAGGCACGATGCTGGCAGCTGATTACATCGAGACATGCACGCAAACCTGTCCTCTGCACAGCTTCGAACGTTCACTGCGTGCTTCGGCTCTCGGTAACACTTCGAGCTTTGTGACGCTCGCAGCCGTGGCCCAAAAGCTGTTTCAGTGCTTCAGTGTTCCCTGCTCGCTGCGCCGTACCCAAAGTTGCAGAGTAAAGCCTGGCACTGCTCATGTTGGTTGTTCGTTTGGTTCCTTCTCGTCGTACGGCCGTTAAACTTGTTCGGTACACAGTAGGCTTGCGGATACTAGGTCCTGCCCGAGTTACATGCATCCTCATTCTCCCTGGCCGTTGCTTCTGTGTTGTGTAGACGGGAGTCTTGCCATCAACCGCACGATGAAGTTCGTTTCAACAAAAGCTCCCCGAGTGCGATTGAGGGGAGTCGGAGAGCCGCACCAAGTTGGGAGGAAAGTCTGCTGCCGCAAGATCCAAGCCAACACTTCACCTGCCACCAAACTTCAGGGTACAGGCCTTAGCAGCAGAAAGTCGCTGTTCTTGTCTTTGAGTCCAGAGCAACTGTCGGGGGCCGAGGCGAGTGCTTCCCGGTGAGGATGCCCGGATCTCGGCTTTTAAGCCCGATGGGCTGGGGCCGGGGTGGTGCCAGCTGAGGCAAGTGTTCGCACACCTGTCCTGGGGAAGGGAAGTCCATGATGCACGATGTGAATTCGACACATCTCTAGGCTAAAAGCACGCTCACCTTCCTTGTATGTTTGTGTTGTATGTTGTATTTGCTTGTTTGGTGGGGCCATTGGCCGGACTCAGATTCCATACACTTGTCATTAGAGCAGCATTCCACAGGCCGAGACTGCCGTGCATGCACCATATTGCCTTGAGGGCGGTGCAGTTGTGGAACGAAGGTGCAGACCATGTTCTCCTTCACTTCCCCTGCACCGGGCACCTTTCAGAGCTCCTGGTCTGTGGCCTACTTTCAGGGACACGGATCCATCTTCGCAGTGCAATGTACTTTCGGAGACTGATGTGTCAGGCATCTTCAAACCTACCCACAGCTTTTTGCATGGAGCCTAGCAGCATCGGTTTGGCAGCAGGCAGTACATGCACTGCAAGCAGCATTTATTTCAGCAGATGCTCAAATGTCATATTTCCCAGGAGCCCATTGCAGAATTAGCGATGAACGGTTCAGCGACAATCTCAGCCATCAACTCAGACGACTATCCGTCAAAGGGAGACTGAGAATCACCCCGAGACCTTTGGCGCCGCTGCAGGTGGAAACAAAGTCCGTTGCGCAGATAGCATCTCTCAGCTTCTTGCAAGCTCAGGATGTGCACTGGGAGCGGAGACAGGCTCTGCAAGCGCACATGGTCAAGGAGCAGGCCCCTGACAAGAAAAGTGTAAATGTTCTGCACGCACGTGCGTGTGCATGTGTGTGGGTTTAGGGTTTAGGGGAAGCCCAAACCCCAAAAACCCCACATCCCTAAACGCAACAGAGGGTCCTGAAAACTTGGCTAGTAAACCCTGCTCCCCTAAACCCCAAACCCTAAACCCTCAATGTTGCATAACCCTAAACCCTAAACCCTAAACCCTAAACCCTAAACCCTAAACCCTAGACCCTAGACCTAGGCTCCGAAAGCCCTCAACTCGCCGAGCCCTTGGTCATTTCTCCTTCCGCGAGTGGCTCTGTGTCTGTCGACCCTCCGGGTTGCTAACGCAAGAGTTTGGGGGTTCAAGGGTTTAGGGTT